TTTTCTTCTCTTATTGGATCTATTGCTGGATTAGTAACTTGAGCAAATGTTTGTTGAAAATAGTATAATAAATTTCTATGTAAATAGCTTAATACTGGGAAAGCTGTATCATTACCCATAGATCCTAAACCATCTGCAGCATGTTTTACCATAGGTGAAATAATAATATTAAATGCATCATATGTATAACCAAAAGCTTTTAATTTTTTAATTAGAGATTCATCATAATAATCCATATCCTTTTTGCTGTCATCATAATAATTTTCCTTATTTAATTTTACACCATATTTATACGCATTCATACGAATGTTTTCCATATTAGAACCAGGTTTAATAATATTATCTAAATTTATAGAATAATGATCTAACCATTTTTTATATGGTTTTAATTTTAAAAAGTTACTTAAAACTTCTTCATGTCTTAAAAATTTTTTTTCTTTAAAATCAATTAAAACTACTTTACCGGGATATACAGAACCTTTATGTGTAATTTTATCATAAGACAAATCTACAACACCAGTTTCGCTAGATAATACAAATAAACCATCATTAGTAATACTATATCTAGCTGGTCTTAAACCATTTCTATCTAACGATGCACCTAATTTATTTCCATCAGTAAAAATAACAAGAGCAGGTCCATCCCATGGTTCCATTAAGCATGTATGATATTCATAAAAAGCTTTTTCTAAAGGGCTTATATTTGGATCTTTTTGATATGCTCTTGGCATTAACATCATAACAGCATGCTCTATCCCTCTCCCAGACATGGCTAAAAATTCTATAGCATTATCTAAAATGGAGGAATCAGAAGGAAAACTAATTGCGCCTTTAGTTTTTTTAGATTCTCCATGTTTAAACTGAGTTTTCATAGATTTTCCAAAATCTTTACTATTATTTTTTTCCTTTAAAGTATTCATTATACATTCTTCATCAATGTCCATTTCTTCATCTGAAGAACTCTTTGAACATTCATTTACATTACTTAAAAATTCTGAGTTGCTATTTATATCAGAATTCATGTATTCTCTTTTTATTTTATAATGCAATGCTGAACTGTTATAGGTGTAATCCCTCTTTAATTTTAATAGTAAATTTCTTCTTGATTTTTTTTTTAGTCTATTTTGTGTTAACATAATGTCTTCAAATGTATCTTTTTTTTGTAATATTTCATCATCATTATCATAAATAATGTAATTTTCCTCATTTATTGGCCTTAAATCTTTTATTGTAACTGATTTAAAAAAATCAGGAGCTTTTGCTGATTGCATTCGTGCTTGGAATAATATGGAGTTAACGCTAATAGTATTTATTTCACCATTGTGACATATTCTTCTAAATGGATGAGCTGCATACCATGTAGGAGAAGTATTTGTTGAAAATCTTACATGAACCATGGCTAAATAAGATGTAAATTGCTCACTTAATAAATCTTCAAAATACAAATATATTTGTGATGGGGTTAACAATCCTTTATAAACAATTGTCCTTGAGGAAAAACTACAGATGTACATATCATTATGTCTCACTAGTTTTTTTCTTATGAAGAAAGCAAGCAATTCTATGTCATCTGGAAGATCATTTAGTTTCAAATTTGTATCATCTGTGAAATTAATATCCGAAAATGGATAAATATTAAAATCGTCATAATTCTTAAAAACAGATCTTTTGCATACAAACATTTGCGCAATAAAAGGTTCACTTTTTTTTACATTAGCACTGATGACATCCCTACGAACAGGAATCGGTGACCTCCATCCTAAAACAACTAACCCATGGTTGTATACCTCTTTTTCTATTTCATGATATAAATAAAGTCTTCTTTCTTCATTTTGTGGCAAAAAAATTTGTGCAACAGCATAATCTCCTTTTTCTGGTAATAAAAAGGGTAATTGACAAGTATCACTTAGCATCTGAAAATAATCATGGGGTATACCAACTAAAATACCTGCACCATCTCCATCATTTGATTGCACGCCTCCTCTATGACTTAATCGTAATAATATTTGTAGAGCTTTTTGAATTATGCTTCTAGAACATTTCCCGTTAATATCTGCAACAACTCCTACCCCACATGCATCTTTTTCATATCTGCTGTCATACAAGCCTTTATTAGCATTTTGTTTGCCCATTATATCAATAACAATTATATTTTCTTTTTAATTATAAGAAAAATTTAGTTAATTAGCAAATCATTTAATATTGAAAAAAAAAAAAAAAAAAACTAAACAATATTGCAAATTTCCTAATGTATTAATTATTGAGAAGAATTTATTAATGAATATAAATATATATATATATATATATATATATATATATATATATATATATATATATATATATATATATATATGTATGTATATATTGAAAAAAATGTGTTCTGAAATTTTTTCTGTAATATTAAGAATTGCGAAAAAAATCTTTATACAAATTCAGAAGATTATAGAATATAAAAATAGTAAAATATAATTAATTTTTATATAAAGCACCAATAGTTTTTTCTTCTTTGTAGATAATAAAAAAAAATATCTTTTAATTGAAAAAATTTTATGGACAATTTTTTTTGTTTTTTTTGTAACACTCGAAAAAATTAAAAGGTTAAAAAATTTTCAAAATGTTAATTATCAAACGAGATATAAACAAAATTATTCACATATTTATACAAATTAATAAAAAACTTTTACAGTTATTTAAAAATGTTTATGATTATAACTGTTTTAAAGTCAACTAATGTTGTATATGCATACTTGTTTATATATATTTATGCGCATATATTTTATTTAAATAAAATTACATTAATTTAAAAAAAAAAAAATTTATTTTATTTATTTCAAAAAATTAATTATGTGTACTATACAAAATAAAAAAAAAAAAAAAAAAAAAAAAAAAAAAAATTAAACAAAAAAAAATATACCAAAGCGAATTGTGTATTGAACAAACAATAGCATGATAAATTTACATGTAATATATACTCCTATGCACATTTTAAAAATAATTTGATTCTACTTTTTTCTTTTTTAAATTATTATAAACCTAATTTCTTTTTTTTTTAAAGGAGTTTTTACATTTATTAATTTTCATTTTTAACAAAATTTTATTTTTTTTTTTTTTATTAAAGTATATTTTAATGCATGTTTTTAGTAAAAGTTATGCTTACGAAGTCTGTACTTAAAATCAACGTTTAAATTACTAATTGTGTGTTTTCTTCTATATACTCAAAAATTCTATAAAAATACACTTGTATAATAGTGTAATTTTTTTTTTTTTTTTTTTTTAGTAAAAAAAGATAATTATATATATATTATATTTTCATTAGCTAAAAAAAATTAAAAGTATTATCCTAAAGGATAGAAAAAAAATTCATTGTAAAGTTAAGCTAACTGTTTAAAAAAATTCAAAAGAATTTGTTTATAAGTAATACTAAATTAAAAATAACAGTAAAAAAATAATGGAGTAAAATTTTAAAATACATTTAAAAAAATGAAATATCATTAGTATTTATTCTTTTATATTTAACTCCTAACCTTTTATATAAAAATTTTTAATAAGACCATAGTAATGAAAATTGATTTACTATATAATTTAAATAATTTTATAAAAAAATTCTACACATATAAAAATGTCTTTATATAGATTTTTTCTCAAAGTAAAAATTAATAGTATAAATAAATAAATATATATACATAATTTTTTTTATTCAAAAAATTATCACTTTATTATATATATAAAAAAAAATATTTTTTTAGTAACAAGCTATATTTAAGATAGGGGATATTCATATATATGTGCTTTATCTTTTTTTTTTTTTTTTTTTTTTTTTTTTTTTAAAATGTAGTATGTATTAACTTTTGCATAGAGTTTATCTTTTCTAAAATACAATAATAAAAAAATAAAATTTTAATTCCTTTTTT